ATCTGAAGTGCGGTGGTCACCAAGTCGGTAAGTCGAGAGGCCACGTACCTGTTAAAGGTTGTGGCGAGTTAGCATTCTAAAAAGGTGTAAACCACCAATCGCAAATGGTCTAGTAGTTGCCTTAGAAGATCCAACACAAACGAGTCAAGTCTCGTCGCGACAAAGACCCCTTCGACCTGTTGCTCGCCTGCTTCCCCTTGAGCGGTTGCAGTCGTTTCCTTTTTTCCTTGTGAGGTCCCAGGGGCAGTCAAGGTCCCGATAGTGTCCCTCGAGGTCATCCTCACAGAGAAGAATTGATAGGGCTGTAGCCTATCTAGCAATATCCCGAAACCTTTTGGCTCATATTTGGTTTTCTCTTTGGTGGGTATTATTTTTCTTTTCTTTGACTTTTGGACCAGGGTTTTCTTCCTTAGCGGATGAGCAGCAACAGGCTGGGGAGCTTCTTTACGTTGCTTAGCGGTTTGTTGCCTTTCGGCACCAATTTATATCCCCCTTACAAGGATATTGTTAGAGGTCGCTCTAACTGGTTTAGTTGGATTAATCCTAGGGAATGCGAGCCCCCCAGGCTTCTTCGTCATCTTCACAATCTTCGGTGGCATGGTTGTTGCATGGCATAAAGATGTGTCAGCAAAGAGAGTCTTCTTTTGTTAAACAAAGACTTAGAGTTTTTCTCTGTAAGAAATACTTACAAGTTGGACCGTCCAAAGATGCGTTAGGACTGAAAAACTCATACTTCCGAAGGTTGGCAATAGTCAATGCGGTTGCAATCAACTAGCTTCAACAAATTGGTCGTTTTGCTTCTTGCAAGAAAGTAAAAGATTTGTTAGCCTAATATATTAAGGAAAAGTTAAAGTTAAAAGATAAGTGATTTGGAAATTAGAAGGAAAACCTACTCAACTTTTTAAATTTACAGACTCCATCGTACTCGAAGAAAAAATACTTGGTTTCATAAGTCCCAACGTTGTTGGGGTAACCAAATATCCCTCCCTCGATCGTTGATCGCTTAGAGAGGTAGTATGAATCTTTGTCTTTACTCCTCTTTAAGTAATAAGCACAACCGAGTTCCTCTGTTGTTGGCTCGCCGAGGTTGTCTTCGCCAAATGCGATATACATGGTGACTGCTATCATATATGCATTTGGCATCGGCTAGAATGGCATAATCTAAAAGTGGTCAAGGATCGACCTGATGTAGGGGTGAAAGGGTATCCTCACTCTACATTTAAAGATCGCTTCCAAGATCGCAGCCAATCCCTTGGGAGGATCCTGACCAGTGTGCGACTTGTGTTGGAACACGTTTACGTTGATCGCATATTGAACAATTGCTCTTTGGATTTTGTCCTTCGAAACTATTGATCGTATCACCTTTTCAGGACCCGCCAAGGTGTGTGATGGTTGCGAGCTTCCGGGACCCGTCGAGGTGCCCGATGGCTGCAAGCTTCCCTCTTTGGCTATTCTCGCCTTAGGGACGTCCATCACTCTTAGAGTTTGTAAAGGGGGCAACATGTAGAGGTGACTCAAACTCCATATAAATTACCTCGTATGACGACTCAAAAGAGTAAAATAACCTTAGTTCCTCTTCCCTAGCTGCCAAAAACCCCAAAAATTCTTAAGAATGATTTTCTAAAGATCTGTGCCCTAAGTTTTGACTTTTAAAAGTGTTTTTTTTTCAAACACTACTCGAGAATGTTCATCATCTAAGCCTTCCAGATGTTCACACCCACCATTACTGTAAAAACTAAGTTTTTTGACGTGAATGAAAAAGAGAAGAAATTTCTTTACATCTTGATTGCTGGGAACAGATTTTCTATCGTAGTGTTGAGTGCGCATCAATCAGGAAAAGGATGAACTAATCTTTTGAGTGCAAAAATGTTATTTTTCTCTCTAAAAGTTTGAGTTCTGTGAAAAAACTTAGAATGGGCTTTGGGTTTTATAAAGTGGAAGACGACACTTGATTTCTTTTATGAGTGACGTTTGGGCGGGAACGTATTTCCAGCCATTTATTGTGACCACGTGTCACTGATCTGTGTGAAGAGTAACCTTCACACTTCGTAAAGAGACAACCAGCGTTTCTCTTTATTGAAATCGCCAAACACCGGCGTGATTATCTCTTCCACATTAAATGTGCCCTCGTCCGCATTTAATGCTTCAAAAGGGAATGTCGTTTCAACATTACTTGCATTTAATGCTCATGGTTGACACTTATTACGCAGAGACACGTCTGTCAGATAAAACTTATTTTATTGACCAAGATAGTTGTCAAGCGCAACGGATAACATCTAAGGAGGTCGTTTGAATAAGACATTTTTTCCACATGTCAAATTTGAACATCGAGCAAAATGATTCTCAATTGTCGACAGCAAAATGTTCTAAGTGTTTTCAGGTCGTGAATGATAGGTAGAGTATGAAACACATTTTCATAGCACTGATCATGATCCAGCTTAGGTCGCTAGACCTTTGCGAATGATCACATCAGGTCGCTTGTGTAGTTCTCGAGACCCATGTCACGATTTACTCTTAGTTCGCTGGTCGAGTCAAACTATCAGCCTCATGTCGTTTGCAACAATGTGGTTGTTCTCAACTATTAGTTCGGGCAAACACTCCTCGAGACAAGTCAGGTCGCGACATAATCATGAAGTTTCAAGATTTACGCTTTAAACCTTAAGAACTGGGGAGTTTTGTTATGCCTAAAAAATCAGGACTGACGTTAGTTTACATCAGCAAGCACCAATCAGAGTTTATGAAGGCTTTGCGTCATCCAGGAGCTGCCACGTTGCTTCATGACAGAAAGAATATGGTTGTCGCCAACTTAACAAATTTAGGTTTTATCTATGAGTGACTGAAGACCGCACACATGTCCAAGTCCCAAATAATTCGAGGATATTTTTTAAGTTATCAGCCAATGGAAGGCAAGGAAGGACTTGTATGACACCTACTCACTTGCAGATTTGTAATCATTACCTTGAATTCATTTACTATAAATAAAGGATTCCCCCTCTCATTTTCGAGATTATGAAACTGAACCCTTATTCTGATTGTAATCTTTATTTTTAAAGCAAAGGTAACCTACGAGAAAGAGACTGACTTGATATTCTCTCTGAATAATCAATTATTGTACCTCTGTTCGCTATTCGTTTTATGCGACCTCTTGTAATCTCTCATAAATAAAAGTGGACGTAGGATTTGCTTTAAGCATCCGAACCACTTTAAAAATCGTATCTCTCATTTATTATTTAGTCTTTATACCTAATTATAATAGTTCACGTGTAATTTTTAAGAACAACTTAACACTTTACACGTGCGAGTCGTTATTATCAAAATCACGGATCAACACACTCCATAATTCGTTTTATAGCACAATTACTTTCAAAAGAAGACTGATAACCAAAACAATTGAAAATTCTACATTGATTTACATGACATTTTGTCTTTGACTATTTTTATATGTATATATGATTGAAAATATATATCCCAATGCAACTGGGTAGTCGGTATTTATTGACTAAAGAAAATATTTAAAGTGACAATAATGTCTCTCTTGGTCAATCAATAAACAATATTAATAATGGGANTGGCTTTCCATCCACCATGAACCACATTTCGTGCTTTTTGTTACTTTTTATTGAGTGCAGCAACATGTAATGCACTCCCAACCCCCAGAATGTCTTTTTCCATTTTGTGTCCATATCCCAAAAATGATTGAAACAAATCTCTTTGAAACTCCTTTCACCATTCCTCACTGTACCTAAAATACCAAATATTATCGTTAAAACATCCCAACTTGACCTCACTGTCACCCTCACAGGGAAGTATAGTACTGTATTGCTTACAACCTCCAATCCGTACTCTCTATAGTTTACGCTCTAGAAAATCTGCACAATCGATATAAACAAAATATCAGAAAAAAAATTAAACTAAATCAAATATAAACAAAATACGCTCCAGAAGAATCGCTTAAGCGATGGGCAGATGATTTTGCCTCATACAAGATCGCTTAAGAGTAAAAGCAACGAATCACTTAAGTTTAAGCTCGCTTAAGCGATCTCTTCCAAGGCAGAATCGACATCTGCCCAGATCTAAGATCGCTTAAGCGATTCGTCGCTTTTACTCTTAAGCGATCTGAAATTGCTTAAGCGATACAAAGGATCGCTTAAGCGATTATAGATCTGGACAGATTTGGTTCTGCCTCGGAAGAGATCGCTTAAGAGATCTTGTAAGAGGCAGAATCAACATCTGCCAGATCTAAGATCGCTTAAGCGATCGTTTATATCGTTTAAGCGATTCATCGCTTTTACTCTTAAATAATCCTAAATAGCTTAAGCGACCAAGAGTAAAAGCCATCAATCGCTTAAGCGATACAAAGGACGCTTAAGCGATCTTAGGTCTCGGCAAGTACAAATACCTTTTCTTCGGCGGCCTCCTCCTCTTTGGTGGCCTCCTCCTCCTCGTTTGAACTCTCGCCGGACTCCTCTTCCTGGCCTGAATTCTGCTTAGCCTCCTCTTCCTCTTCAGAACCGTTTTGCTCCTATTCTCTCTCTTGTTGTGCCGCCGTCGTCTCCGCTGCTGGAACACCTTCACTGATTGGAGGATCCACCGGAGTAGCCAGTTGCTTGCGCTGCCAGACTCTACGATTCGAAGAGGCGTTAGGTTTTCCTTCTCATTGTGAATGTCAGCCATGGTTTCAAGAAAGGAAGAAGCTTTGGGATTGAATTTGGGTGTGAAAATTTGCCAGAATGTGGACTGTTATAGCCGACAATTGCACAGAATGCATTTAGGGATTGAAGATATCGATTTTTGCCTTAATTGGTTTCGATTAAGCGATTTGAATGGGTGGGGCTCTTTTTCAAATTTCAAAATTTAAAAACTTTCATTAATTAGTATGTTGTCCTTATATGTTTTAATCTTTTCATTTTAACCTATTTTACATGTTTATGGATCCTAACTGTACCACGTCAGCTTCTCTAAATTAAAAAAAAAATGAAAAACAGTTTCAAGGCCATTTTCTTAAATCGAAACTTGGGATGGCCGGTCAACTAAATTTTCTCTATCTTCGGCTTCCAATCCAACTTCATTCATCATCTTCGGTTCGGTTCGAGCTTCATTCCTCGACTTGCAGGTTCGTTCTCTGTCAGTCTGTCTTCTCTTCCATTTACCAGCTTCATTCATCTTCGTTTTAATGTAGTTGTTTTTCTTCATTCCGACTCTGATTTTCATTTTTGGGAGGTTTGCGTATTCATTCTTTGTTCCTGGACTTCGATTTTCATCTCACTGTGATCTTATATTTCTGTTTTAATGTTTCCTCCCAGATTTATCCTAATTAAACCCAGATTCGTTTTAACTCCTTAGAAGGTTACGCTGTTTTTTTTTTTTTTTTGGGGGGGGGGGGGGGGGGGGGGGGGGGGGGGGGGCGCGGGGGTGGCGGGTGGTTGGGGTTAGGAATGTTTTCTAATTTCTTGTGTTTGTTATCTTAGAAGAATGCGAAATTTAAAGTGTACTTTCGGTGATTGGGGCTTCAATGTTTTCTATTATTTTTCATATTGGCCGAGTTAATGTAAGAATAATTGGGGGAAGAACGCCACATTGGACATTGTGACGATATTTTGAAATTCGGTTTACTGTTTCATGAGCAATTTTTTAGAAAATTGATAACTTTAGGATTGCTCTTTTGGTGTATTTTGGTTTCTTAATTTGGTGGAATGCGTATGACAGGTTACTGGGGGACTGTGATATTCCTACTGCTGTTCCTAACTCTGAAAGTTGTCTCCAAGAAAACGTCGAGGTTGTATCATTTCAATGCTACCTTTCTTATAGAAAATTATGTCAAACTGTGTTGCATTGTCAATGTTTACTGATAATGTCTCTTCCAGGTTGTGGGAAATGCCTCATATGGGTCAAAGCTTTCACGAAGAATTGCCTCTCTCATGAGATTTCGTGAAAAGCGGAAAGAAAGATACTTTGAAAAGAAAATTAGGTACAGTTGTCGGAAAGAGGTTGTTGAGAGGTAAGGTGCTAACTCTGTTCCCCAAGTACTCCTTTTTTACGTAAGAAAGGGAGTACATAATAGGAGATAAGTGTCCTCTGATTGTTCCTTTTTTAAGAATAGAGCAAATGTAAAATCGTTATTGTCATGCACTCTTAATTGTCCCCGTAAATCTCTGCAATTCGTAGTGGGAAAAATTGAGGGGTTTTAGATGCTAGTTATATATGATGTGAACTTCACTTTTGGTTTCTCCTCCTTTCCTCACACATAAACAAATGTATAACTTAGTGCATTAGAACACATATCCTCAAATTTGGTGCGAACATATTAGGTGAAGCTATTTTTGCATATAAATTTGCTGTGATATGTGAGTGTAGGTTCATTGATATCTTTATTAATTTATACCTGTTTGAGTTTATATGTTTTATTAGAGTAATTTATATTTTGTTGCTCTTCATTTGTTAGATGTGAAATCATTATCTATCATGGAGGCTTGTGTTATTTGAGACATTGAAATATTGGTGTTAATACTGTGCAATTCTATTTGATGCTAGGATGAATCGTAAGAATGGACAATTTACATCATCAAAGGATTCTTATAATACAGATGTTGTAAACTCAAATTGAAGCAATGGTGCTACTCTTGAACCTGTGTGAGCTTGATTCTTACTTGTTATGTGCAAAGTTCAGCTATAAAAGCATTGGAGTGTAAGAATCTTCATTCATTTTAAGCTTATGTATTTTTTGTAACATTAATCATGCATGTCATACATTTTAAACTTTTGCATCATATTTTATATTTGTGGATATCTTTTTTTTTTTTTTTTTGCGCGTATGCCCCTTGAGGTATTTCGCTTCTAGTTTTCTTGTTGCAGCTGCCTGCCACCTATGCACACAAGTCAACACCTTCTCAAACTGTATATTTTATTTGGTTTGCCCATTGTGGTGGAGGTGAACTTCGGCTGCTAACCTCAGTCACTTGTTGAATAATCTCTTCCGTCACTTCATAGAAATATTAAATTTATTCCACTCTGGAATGTATGTGACAAAAAAAGAGATCTAGATTCATAACTTATTGCTAATGTAATATAATATCTCTTTTGGTTTGTAAAGTTTGACCTAATAACCTTTTAGAACCTATATAAGCATGAGCCTGCAAGGCTCCTTTCAAGTAAAAAAGGCTTGCATGTTAGTTCCTCGACCTTTCTATTAATTTGTTGTGGTTAGTTTCATGTTCTTTCTCTATCATTAGTCCTCAACTATGTTATTTTAGTACATTTCCAAAAACATTACACAACTGCTAGTTAGATGTTTGGTTTTTGAATTTAATAAGATCTGTAGTTAAACTTCGTGTAAAAAGGAAAACACAAGTTGTTTGCTTGACTAAATGTTCATTCACTGCCTTATTTTTCTAATGATGACTTTGTTTTTCTTGCTTTGCAGTGCCACTGGATTAGTAGTCCTAATTTTCCGTGGATCCTTCCACCAGAGAGGTTGAAACAAAAGTTGCTTGGCCTACTGACAAAGTTGTCCTAGCTTTTCCAAAACAATTTTAGGTAACTTATTTCCGATTATATCATCTCTTTTAGGTTTCATCTATTGTAACATATATTATAATGTATAATTTGGAGATAAGATTTGGAAATATGTAATATTGATATATCTTTAAACTTGCATGGTGCCGTTTTTTAGAATCATATGATTGTGAAGTTGGAGATTTAAACATGTTCTTTTCCTCTTTGTTTTGTATTACATGTTTGAGGTGCTTTTGTCTTCATCTTTTCTTGAATTTACAATATATGTGTTGTCATCTTTGAGAATATACATGGGAATTGAAGATGTCTTTTGTATTAATGTAATTATAGGTTGTGAAAAGGGAAGAGTACTTTTTTGTAAAGCACAATTGGAAAGGGAAGATGGTATGCATGATGGTTTTTGTTAAAAAATTTTGAATGATTGGAAAGGATAACTATTGTTCATTGTTTCCAATCATCTAGGTTCTAGATTTTATGGATGCAAAGAAAGTAGGGTGCCTATTTATTAGGCATATATACAAACTTTTTGTATATGAAGGTTCACCATCAATGAAATGGTCTTTGAAAAATTAGTGTATCATTATTTATAAGTTGTATTATTAAAGTAACAATTGTACCAGTTTTTATATATGTTATAACATATACGTTGATAGCACTTTCAAAGTGTTATGGAAAATAATTTTATAACGTTTACAAAATGTAATGAATACCTATCTACAACACTTTTTAAAACTGTGATAGCATCTTTAACATGTTATTAAGAACTATTTTATAGCATTTTAGCAATGTTAAGAAAAACCAATCTACAATATTATAAAAATGTTGTAGATTAGTTATTTATAAAATTTTGAAAATGTTACAAAAAATTAAACTATAATAGGTTAAGAATGTTATAAAAAAAACTTATTTATAACATTTATGTAGTGTACTTAATATCATTTGTTACACAAATGCGTGTTATAATATATTTCACAATAACATTTTATTACAGTTATTGAAATGATTAATAACATACAAAAAGTGTTATCAATTTTTATTTTTTAGTAACATGAGCTATAACAACATGTTTATAAAAGCTATTGTTTACTTATGGTAGCATTTTTTGCATGTTACCGTAGGCCATTTTTGTTGTAGTGAAATGACCATTAATGATCAATGAGTCATCTACCCAAATCCACAAGAAGGAACGAAAAATAATTGGTGTCATTTATGTAAAAAGAGCCTAGGCACTATCAAAGAGATTGCCTGAAATGACAGGCATTGTGCGAAAAGAAAGGTAAGCCTAGAGCTTTAGTATGTTCCAAATCAAATTTATCTGAATTTCTTTATAATACTTGGTAGATTGATTCTGGTTGTACCACTCACATTTCAAATACATTGTAGGGATTCCTTACAACCCATACCATAAACGCCAATGAAAGGTTTGTGTTTGGGGAGAATAGAGTCAAGGCACAATTCAAAGCCATTGGAACTGACAGTTTAATTTTAGATACTAGACATCATTTGGATTTATTCCAAACTCTTTATATATCTACATTGTCACGTAATTTAGTATATTTGTCTAAACTTGATTTAGAATGATACTATTTTAAGTTTGGAAATGGATATTTCAGATTATTTAAACATAATTGTCTTATTGGTTCTAGTGTGCTTTGTGATGGTTTATATAAATTGAGACTTGATAATTTGTTTGCTAAGACATTATTGACCTTGCATCAGAGTATTTGTACAAAACGTGCCCTACGGATGAAAGTTCTGCTTATTTGTGGCATAAGTGTTTGAGCCACATATCAACATACAGGATACAAAGATTATTAAAGAATGAAATCCTCCCTAATTTGGAATTTACTGATCTTTGTATCTGTGTGGATTATATTAAGGGAAAGCAAACAATGTTCACATTAAGAAAACAGCCACAAGAAGCACAAAGCTCCTTGAATTGATACACACCAATATTTGTAGACCTTTTGATATTTCTTCGTTTAGTGAAGAGAAATTTTTCATCACCTTTATCGATGATTTCTAACGTTATGGGTGTGTTTATTTGTTACATGAAAAATCTCAATTAGTGAATATTCTAAAGGTATTAATTAATGAGGTTGAGAGACAATTAGATAAGAAAAAGAAAATTGTACGATCAGATAGAAGTGGTGAATATTATGGAAGATACATTAAATTTGAACAATGTCTAGGTCCATTTGCCAAATTCCTTGAAGGGTGTGGCATATATGCTGAATACACAGTGCCAGACACACCACAACAAAATGGTGTTGTAAAAAGGCATAACCATATATTAATGGATATGGTTAGGAGTATGATGAATCACTCTTCATTGCCCTCATCATTGTGGATGTATGCCTTAAAGACCGCAGTGTATTTATTAAACATGGTTCCTAGTATTACTCCTAATTTTAGGGCTAAATGGGATTGTTGTAGCTTTAAGTTTAATAAGTTTTTCTCCTATTTTTGAAAATAATGAGCTTTGAAAATAATTTTGAGTGTGTTTGAAAATAATTTTAAGTCATAATTGCTGTGATTTTAAAATCTAAAATTGTGTGTTTGGTAAATTAGATTTTGAAATTGTTAATGTATGTTTAATGACCAAAATAGAGATTTTATTTCTTAAAATATTTTTATAATTCTAAATTTATATTTTGTTAGGTATATAATAAATAATTAAAAATGTAATAAAAATGTAAATGTTAAATAAATTATTAATTAATTAGAAAAAATTTCGATTTGGCCGGTAGTGGTCCACAGTCAGTCAAAGCCATTCAATCACCGTTGATCGGAGGTCAACACAAGTCAACGATGAAGCGTTAACGTCACAGTCGGTCCTATTGGGATCAACGTGAGTCGATCTGTCAGAATTCGATAAAATTACCAAATTTTGATGTGTCACTTTGAGGCAGAACGACGACAAAACACTTGACTACCTATTGTAGCCAAACGACGAGTCGAAAGCCGGTGATTCTATCAGATTCTGATAGATAGGCTCATGTCAATCCTGATAGGACTGTTGAGCCTATCGTCACAGCCACAAAATTAACCTTAATATTGTAGTAAGCAGTAACCAGGGTTGAATCCACAGGGAGCAAAGACTAACAATCTAATGTGTATTTGAGTTATTGAAAATGAAATTAGCAAATTGATTGATTAAAACTAAGAAAACTAATTAATTGCAGGAAATTAAAAGCATAAAATAAATAGCTAACTAAAACTTAATGATAAAGGTGTTGCCCTTCCGGATTTAGTTCGACACAAAACCAACTCTCACAATTCTACTCCTTGCTCTTAGACTTCCTAAACCTACAAGGCTATGCAAATTACATAAAATGATTTTCCAGCAATCTAGGTATAATTTAACCTGTCTCCCTGTCGTCTTAGTTATAGATCAATTGGTTAAAAACTATCATCGACTAACTAAAAGCTCTAACAATTAAATATCACTAGTTGGTACAAAGCCAACAGGTACAACCTATCAACTTTGTATCATGCAATCAACCTATTACACAACAAATGCATTCATAGTAGAAATGATATTAAACACTAATACAACTTAATTGCAATCAACATCAAAGCAATTTAAAGTCATAATCAACATTCAATAATCTCAAACCACATTCAATTATGTAACAAGTTCAATTTCAATAAATGTTCTCCATGGACATAACCAATTCAACACGTCAAGTATCAAAATAATATTAAAGCATCACAAACAAACTGAAACGAAAGCAAATATAATCAGAATACAAGAAACTTAGCCAATTTTCCAATTGTCCGAGCTCAATCAAGAGCTACCGTGAGGAACTATGGTCGTCGATCAAGGCTTGGCCTACACAGTAACGGACAATCGGGAGCTTAGCCGCTCATGGTGGTGTTGACAATAGCTAACAATGTTCGAAGGTGGCTGGACATGGTGGAAAATGGACAACCAGCAGTTGATGTGGTCAATTCATGGTTGAGGGAGACTAAACGTCACTAGAAATGCACGAAATCCGGCGAGAAGTCGAAAGGTCACCAGAGAAATACGAAGCATTGTTGACGTTTCTTGGTAGAAATAGGTGGATTAGCGGCTATGGAGCTTGGGATGGCTATATTGACAATTGGAGAGATGAGGGGTCACTAGAGGAGTCGAGAGGACGTTGGAAAATGGGTGAAATGGTAAGGGGAAACCAAAACGTCTTTGGCGGTGGAGGAACTGAAACGTCACACGCCGATGAGTGATGGATGATGAAGATTGGTGCAATAGAAGCACGAGAGAAGGACAAATTGGCGCAGAAGAAGTTGGATCATTGTCAAAAATAAAGTAATCGTGGCCAGAAGATGGAAGGTCGCGGCGACGGCGAATCGGTGACGGCTTGTGAAGGGAGTGGTGTGGACGACACCGAGGGAGCTGAATCATCACCAGAGAAGGTGCAAGGTCATCGGTGATGGCGGCATTAGGGTTTTGGTGGTGGCGGCTCTATTCTACGACAGTTGGCTTTCCTTTTAGAGTAGATATGAAAAATATCAATTTAGTCCCTATACAAGTGAAAAGTGACAAAATCAACCTTATGAAAATATGACTGTTTACCCCTGAACAGCATAAATGAGACAAATTCAGCCCTAATCAATAAACTACAACCTAATATCAACCCACACAATCTCAAAAATCATTTCAAACATGCAACATTCGTAAAAAAATATTAAAATGTGATTTTTCATGAATAAATTCATACATTGTCTCAGTATAGATTCAAATTAAATCATAACAAGGGTATTTTAATCACTTTAATGGAGTCATTTTCATGACTCTAACAAAGACCGACGATGAGGAGCAACACTCGTCATCGGAGGTCACCAAAGGTCATCGAAATTCAGCAATCGCTACCAGTGTCCACTATTGTCGTCGCCATCAATCACTATTTCTTCCGCTTGTCAGTTCAATTTTATCTGTTTCATAAAAATATAAAATTTAATAAATTTTTTCTTTAAAAATCTTTGTAAATAATACAATGGTATCTATGTCATTTGAACTACAAAATTAGTTTTGAAAATAATCTAATTTTGAAAAACTACACCAAGTAGCTTTTGAAATCCTTTTATAATTCTGATTATTTTATAATTAGCTTAAAATTTAATCAGTTTTAGAAGCGGCTTACTAGACACTTTTATTACTGTAACTTAAAACTTTATTAATTATTTCTTAAGCTACAACAATCCCAAACACATTACTGTAACTTAAAACTTAATTAATTATTTCTTAAGCTACAACAATCCCAAACACAGACTAAGGCTTAGTTTGGGATTTCTGTAGCCTGTTTCTGTTAGGGTGTTTGTTTTTCTTAATTTTAAAATCACTTTTTTTTTTTTTAATAGAAGATAATATAATATCAATTTGAAATTACAAAAATAAATTTATTTAAAATAATTTTGCATCATTAAAATAAATTTAAATTGAAGTTTCTAAATAAAAAAATTTTAAAAATTAAAAACTGGATCAAGAGCGGCCGGCTAACCACCGTCGGCGGTGGCTATCCACCGTCGCTGGGGATTTCATCGACAGCGAGTGAGTCGACACCGCTGGCACGGTTGCACCGTCGGTTGGCGCTTTGTACAACCGTGTCAGTGGTGTCATCAAATACGACAACATTTTGCCACAAATATCCGGCAAAGTTTCAATCGAACTTGATGGCCCGTTGTGTAAAACTACGTGGTATTTGATGACACCGCCGGCATGGTTGGTTGCAACCATGTTGGTAGTGTTGACTCACTTGCTGTTAGAGAATTCTTCGGCGACGAAAGCGAACCATGTTGGTGGTGTTTGGCCAACCACTGCCTGTTCTTGTTTAAAACTTTTCTCTTTTTATATTTTTTAATTTTTTTTTTTTTTTTTTTGGTAATTCAAGATAATTCTGGGATGTTTTGTAATTAATCCTTCCAAAAGCAGCTTATGAATTCTAAAAGTTAAAAAAAAAAAAAAGTTCCTTTTTATAAAACAAATTATTTCATAATCAGTTTCTAATATAATTATTTTTCAAATTAGTTTATCAAACAATTTTTGAATAATAAATTATGAAGTAATTAATTAGAGGAGAAGCTACAATAGTTCTAAGGGGGCGTTTGGTTCAGGAATGTTAGATTACTGGGAATATTGGATTACTGGAAAGATAGATTACCTTAGAAGATTACTGGGAATCTTTAAGAAAATATGTTTGGTTAGTTGGTGGGTATGTTATATTAATATGTTTGGTTATGGGAATAAATTGGTGGGTATGTTATTTAAATTACTAAATTGACCCTCTTTTAAATATTAATATAATATTATTTTTATTATTAATTTTTGAATTATTTTTAACCCCCAATATTTCAGATTTAGCTAAAACACCCCCGCTTATAAAAAAACTTTAATTCATGACGAAATCACCCCCACCTCCTGCCGCCACCGCGAACAACGGCCGGAAAATCGCCGGAGCCCCCAAAAACACTGGAAATTCTGTGGGAGGCTCCGGGAGGCTTCGATATGGCCGTTTTTGGCCATATTGATGGCCGAAAACGGCCATATCGGGCCAGATCTGGCCGGAAATGGCCAGATCTATTCTGGCCATTTCCGGCCAGATCCCTGGCCATTAACGGCCAGGTCTGGTCCAGACCTGGCCGATAATGGCCAGGGATCTGGCCGTTTACGGCCAGATCCCTCGATCTGGCCGGAAATGGCCAGAATAGATCTGGCCATTTCCGGCCAGATCTGGCCCGATATGGCCGTTTTCGGCCATCAATATGGCCAAAAACGGCCATAGCGAAGCCTCCCGGAGCCTCCCACAGAATTTCCAGTGTTTTTGGGGGCTCCGGCGATTTTCCGGCGGTTGTTCGCGGTGGCGGCAGGCGGCGGTGGTGGTGGCTGGGTGGCCGTGGTGGTGGTGGCTTGGTGGCAGTGGTGGTCTGTAAATTCTTTTAAATATAAGGGCATTATTGTCCAAAATTTTAATTAAACAAGGGTAAAATTGAAATAGGATATTAATGTAAATTTGTTTTAAAGTAGGGGTATTATTGTCCAAAATTTTTATTAATAAGGGATAAAATTGTAACAAAAAAAGATAACCCTGGTAATCTCAGAAAACCTAAGAAAATGGAGGTAATCAGATTACCTCTTATATTACCAATAGTAACCACTATTGGTATTTGAAGATTACTGGTATCTTATATTACTTGACAACCAAACGTGGTAATCAAGTAATATAAGATGACATTACCCCAGTAATGTCACTTAACCCCGAACCAAACTGACCCTAAGAGTAATGCTAACCTTACTCATTTTCCCTACTCACTTCTCTTACTCACATTTATTAGAAAAGTGAAAAAGTTGATAAGAGAACTGACTAATGCTAGCCTTACTCACTCCTCCTACTCAGTTCTCTTATTCACCTTTATTAAAAAAGTGAAAAAGTTGATAAGAGAAGTGAGTAAAGTTAGCATTATTCTAGTTCTAAACTCACTTGTTTGGTTGGGGGAATGTTGCACAACTCGGTAATGTCAATTATGTCATCTTATATTACTAATATTATCATATTTAGTTATAAAGTAATATATCATTCCAGTAATCTTACAAAACCAATAGTAATTAATGTTGGTTATATAGGTGATAATCTGAATATCATTTTATTCTTAGGTATTTTAAGATTACTTGGTAATCTTAATTTTGTTATAATTGTACCCCTAACAAATAAAATTTTAAGACATTATTACCCTTGTTCTTAAAACAATTTACCCAGAACGACCTAGCCGCCTTCCAACGATTGCTGGCCACCGCCTCCACCACCATCTTTGCCTCCAATCATCGGAACAGCATATGATCGGTTGGATCTAGCCGATCGTAAGTTGATGTGACTGTTTTTTACTAGATCCATCCATGGATCTAGCCTAAAACAGCTAGATCGGGGCACGATAGGCCAAATCCAACTGGTCATGCGTCGTTCCGGCAATTTTCCACTACCCATCAATTTATTCCAATCTAACCAAACACATTTTATAAAACATTCCAATAATTTTCAGAGTAATCTATATTTCCATTAATACAATATTTCCTAAACCAAACACCCCTTAAGTGATTTTTATACCCGTTAAATGTGAACTCAGTGACTTTTGGCCCCATAGCGATTATAGATTCTTTGGACAATCTAGGTCTGTTTGGTTTAATATTTTTCACTATCCTATTCATACTGTTTCCAAAATACCTGTTTGTTTCCCTATTCTGAAAATACTATTATATTTTATTCAACTGTTTTAAACCCCTTAAGTTTATTAATTTAACTAAACACCCCCCGAAAAAAGTTTAGAAATTGACAAAAACACCTTCACCCACCCACCCACCCACCCATATTGCTAGATTCCGACCATCATCGCTGGAAGGTGGCTAGAATATGGTATAATGACTCACTATCGACTGGATCTGACTGGTAGTGTGTCGATATATCATTTTCTAACCAGATCAATGGCCAAAGATCTGGCCGTTGACAACCAGATTTTTTGTCGTAGTTGGTCATCAACGACGGGCAAGTTATGGCCGTCGTTGACGACTAAACATGATTAGATATAGCCGTAGATCTAACCTTTTTCGACAAAATCCATGGTAGATCTGACTGGAAAATGTCATCTCGATAGATAACCGACTAGATCCAGCTGATCATATGTCATACTGTGACTCCGGCCATCCTCCGCTGTGGTGGCCAGTATTTAATGGTGAGTGATAGTGTTTTTATAATTTTTAATATTTTTATTATATAGATGTTTAGTAAATTAACAAATATTAAAAGTGTTTTTATTAATTTTTAAATCTACCTCGTTATTCCCACCTAACTCTAAAAATATCAAAAACACTAAAAGAAGCGCACCTCTATATATCGGCTACATGAATCGGGTTTCAAAGGCAAACAAGAGGCCGTTAAGTTAAGCCCAACCCAAAATCACCGAAAAGGACAGATGTGTCCTTCCATTGGCAACGGCTAACTACCCGTCACTCGACTCTTGCTCACAGTATCCACTTTTCTTCCTAGTTCCTACTTCACACCCTAACAATCACTACCTTCAATTTCACTTCATCAATCTCATGATTGCCGCCATGGATCTCCTCCACTGTACTTCTCATTCCTCTACCCTCAGATTCTTTTGCCCCCATTTTTCTTCCCCTACACCTCTCCGCCGGCGATTCTTCAGTGTAAGGTCTCTTCACTTCACTCTTCAAATCATTCAAACCCCTTCTCACCTTTATTTTTCTGATTCGTTTTTTAAAATAAATTTAATTTTTTTTTCCTGTTGCCAAATTAATTTTCAGGTTGAGTCTTCCATTTCCAAATGAGAAAGCTAACTATCACAAAGAGCTGGAAGCTGCAGTAGGTGTTGTGGAGAGAGCTTGTCGTCTTTGCGTTGACGTAATCTAATAATTTATTTCTCACTTTTAATTTAAGTTTCTTTATGCTTTGTTCTAGACAATGTAGCAAAGTAGAAGAATTACTAGTCTTTTATTTATTTATAAAGTGTTCTGATTGTAGGTAAAAAAATCACTGTTGTCCAGTGACGGAGGGATTCTTGAAAAGAATGACCAAACTCCTGTTACAGTCGCAGATTTTGGGGTGCAAGCTCTAGTTAGCTTGGGTAACTTTTTTTCTTTCTCTGCTAGTATAGTTTTCTTATTTTTCAATTTATCTAGTAACTGAAAGTGCTACTTGGACTAGTTAAGGGAATCATAGCAACATATGTAAGAGGTTCATTTCTATTAAATATGGGCGGGACAACCATGATGGGACCCACCCAATTTGAATATTAGATATGGGATTGTGTTGTGGTAATTGCTTTGGCAATTACCACTATCTCTGCACCTATATAAGAGTTTTTCATTTGATAAAAAACTCTTCAACACAACTCTTACGCAAATATATTTCTCTCTTCTTTTATTCTTACTAGAATAAAAAAGCACAGACCACCATCCTCTTGATTCTAGTAAAAATAATATAAGAGAGAAATATATTTGCGTAAGAGTTGTGTTGAAGATTTTTTCATCAAATAAAAAACTCTTATATAAGTGCGGAGATAGTGGTAACTCACAACGCAATCCCATATCTAATATTCAAATTAGGTGGGTTCCATCATAGGTGTCTCACCTATATCTAGTATCTCTCTCACATAGGCAATCGCCTCCGTTACTTTGAGGGAATGGAGATGAGACAATTTTAAGCTTATTATCTAGGTGATAATAGGGAGTCAAGCTTAAAATGTTTAACGTCGCCTAAAATAGAATAAAAATAATGTCATAATGAAATATGACCATAAGTAATAAATTATCAAAATTTATCACTTTATCTGTCTAATTGTCAGATTAGAGTTCTTATGAATTAAGAGTGTGTAAAGTGAACTCTAGTTAGACATTAGGTATGTATGAACTAAAATTTGTATGACATTTACAAGAAAAAAGAGACATGTACTTCATGGGAAAGGAGGAAATGATGTAGCATGTGATTCATACCACATGTGCAAAAATATTGACCAAGGGGGTAATAAAAGTCAAATCTCAACTTTAACATTGTGTGAAACCCTGAGATTTTGAGAATAAAATCTCATAGAGTACCCTTATTACTCTACTTTGTTTCTTGAAAACCTTATTTAATGATTGTTATCTTAGAGTGTTGCCAAAAGATTAAGATAAATTCAATCTGCTGGGACATTTCTGGAAAAGCAAATTAAATGAAAGTTGCAAAAATCGATAAGAGAGGAAGATTACAATTTTGGATTATCACACTATAATCATGTGTATTCATTGGTCGATCAATTATGTTTTACTTTTATGTAAAAACAGAACATAATTATGAATACAATTGACTATTATTATATATGAGATAGTTAGAGAAAGATGTGATAAGTAATCTAGGGTACTGCATACAACATACAACCCAAGTTTCACAATTCGAGAAGTTATATATTCCTAACATGTATATGACTAATGTGCTCTCGATGTATGCATGGTCACACGACATATTTACTGAAGTGTGAACTTTGAAGAAGCACAAAGAGAAATAGTCCCATCATGTGTGAGTGGGAGTTATTAAATATAGATGGGACACCCATGATGAGACCCACCCAATTTGAATATTAGATATGAGATTGCGTTGTTTTGGCAGTTGCCATCATCTCGGCACCTATATAAGAGTTTTTCATTTGATGAAAAACTCTTCAACACAACTTTTACGCAAATATATTTCTCTCTTCTTTTATTTTTACCGGAATCAAGAGGACGGTGATCTGTACTTTTTGATTGACAAGGAAAGGAGATATTTATGCTGTGAACTTTATTGCACTTCGTTTAAGTAAAAATGTGATTGTTATGTGTGACTTATGATATGATCTTAAAACGAATTAGGAATTCTGTAATTCTTAATTTACTAACAATTTCATAATGCAGCTACACTCGGAAAAAGTAAATTTATAGGAGGTAATGGAGATGAAATATGATATCGACTTGCCAACAATTGTATTCCACAATTTACATCTTTATTCTTTGCATTAATTGCCACATGATCTTCCCTTTTGATACTATCATCATACATTGACTGACAAAGTATGCAAGTGGGGTTGGCCACTGTTCCTGAATAAAGCTTCCTTTGAAATTATAGTTATTGCCACGTTGCAGCAAACTTTCCTGCACCCGTTGAGTTAAACTGTACTACTGGCTATTAACGGTCATTGTTGTTGCCACAAACTAACCATATTCTGTTGTAGCATATGACTAATCAGTCAATTGCCCTAGAACTTTTAGAGATATACAAGTTAAAACGGTTAGAGAAGAACTACTTTTGTGAGCATTTTCTTACAGAGGCTAAGTCCCTCTCCTCATTTCCTTCTCTCTTTCTCTTTTAAGTGGTCCTGAAAGCATGTCTATCTCCTCTATTTGTTTCTCTTCTCACACCTTAGCATTTTGTCTATCTTCGACTGTAGGGTGAATAAAAAATAATTGGCCTGAAGGGCTCCATTAGTAAAAAGTTAAAACCATAGTATGGAAAGAATGATAAGACTGGCTATTTTTATTGTTACCAAATCTCATTAACCTTTTGCTCAGACTTCTGTTTTATAACAAACTTTGCTCATATTGCTTTTATGCTTTTTGGTGATAGAGCTGAATAAATTGTTTCCCTCTGTTCCCTTGGTGGCTGAAGAGGACTCTGCCTTTTTGCGTTCAAATAATCTGGTGGATTCTGTGGTAAGTACGGTTGCTGATCAAGCAAGCTTTGGTGATGATCCATTGACTGAGGCTGATGTGTTGGATGCAATTGACAGAGGGGGGAAGGATGCTGTTGCCTTTGGAAGAAAGCCAGCCACGTATTGGGTAGGTCTGCATGAACTTTTGAGGAAACTTGGATTGTTTGGAAATTTAAATACTTGTATTTATCTTACATTGGTTCTGTTTGCCTCATACACATCAATTGGTACATATAGATGGAAACACATGATTACATTTAACTTTCTCTGATGCATGCAATTAAAACCAACCATTTATTTGTTGTGAAGAAGGAATATGGATATTCTCTACTCTAAAACTGTGATCTTATGGATTGTGATATGATATTACAGTTTTACTTTGATCGTTTCATTAACCTTCACCGTTGAAATTGTGCTTTTTTTTATTACTCTAATCAAGTCCATAAACTCAATGTAGGTATTGGACCCAATTGATGGCACACGAGGGTTTTTAAAGGGAAGTGAAGCCTTATATGTGGTACGTCTTATTTCTGCTGGTAGCTCATTTGTTTTATTCTTTGAATTTTTAACATTGGCTTAGAATTGTTAAGTCCATTGAATTTATCATGTCTGACAAAAAGAAACAGTTTACAGCTGTAGTTAAATTTGCCTTCACTTTAGTGAGTCTAATTGCCCTGCCTCTTGGCATATAATACTCATCTTAGTCATGGAGTTGAAAAATGTCTAATGTCTCCTTTAGATTAAAGTGTTGGTTTCTGTTAAGTTAAAAGTATTAAAATACCACTAAGTGACTTGAGTCGAATATCTATAACAAAGTCTTCATAGTTTGTAATTTAACTGAGAAGATAAAAGTTAAGTTTAATTTGGAGAAGTAATGCTTGATGTGAACTTAAAATCAGAATGGTTCCTGAATTGATTCAACTGGTTGTTCAATCCGGGTTGACTAGATGACACAATAATTGTATCATTAAGAAGAAGAAATATGTCACAACAACCTGATGGACTATTTGTACTGAAAGTTTGATCCAATATTGAATGGTCTTGATTTTCTTCTTTGGCTAAGGTCTTATCCCTCATTTTCAGGTAGGTTTGGCTCTTGTGGTTCAAGGAGAGATTGTTTTAGGTGTTATGGGCTGCCCTAACTGGAAGGAAGACAAATCTTACAAATCCACTGCAGAGGTGCAGGGAAGCAAGAACATACCATTGGGATCAGGGGTTATCATGGTTGCTCATGTTGGTTGTGGAACATGGACTAAGAGGTTGCCAGATATGCTGGGTACCTCAGCCAAAACATCTGATTGTTGGACCAGGACCTTTGTTGACAGGTGTCAATTGGTACATGAGGCATGTTTCTGTATTCCAGAGAGTCAAACGTGGGATTCATTGCCACTGTCAGCTTTATTCAACGCGACAACTGATGCTAAAAGTATAGGGGACAAAGAAATTCTTCTTTTGCCCAAATGCTGTGGAAGGTTTGGTGTTATTTGAATAGTCATTAATATATGGAACTTATATTTTCCCTTGTTATTTCTTTTAATAGGAATTCTAATAGTGGTAAGAAGTAGTTTTCAATGGTTGTCAGAGTAATATATAATCATTGATTGCGTTTTATCAGGAGAAACCCTTGTGGTTTACATCCACATGCCTGTAATAAATGACAAGGTGATGCAATAAGCACCTTATCAGTTGAACTACAACTTTATTAAATAACGGTGAAGTTTGATTATCTTGAACATAGCACATTGTGTCATGTTAAAGCATAGTGTGTTTTCTAGTTTCAAAATTATCATTGTAATCTCTTTCTATAATCAGAATTTAGTTAATTGTCTGATACTTCATTCACGATCTTCATAACACACGCATGATATGGTTTATCTTGTTTCTATGTAGTTTATGCAAGTATTTGATGGTGGCTTCAGGTAGGGCATCAGTATTCATTCTTCGAGCAACAGCTCAAAAACATATAAAGGTATGTGGACCTCTTGTTGAATATTTAATAAAAACGACAATAGTTAGAACTGATTTTGGATCTTTCTTGTGATGTAGGCTTGGGATCATGCGGTTGGTGTGATATGTGTGCAGGAAGCAGGAGGAAAGGTAGGTGATTGTAATTGGCCTGTTTCTAAAGTTGCATGATTTTTAGCTGTCTGCAAATTCTCTGTATTAGTGCATTTTGATAATTTGAAATTAGGATATGTATTCTGAAATATATGATGCTGCCGAGTTACACTGAAGGATAAAAATCAATGCTAATCAATTAAACATATTTAAACTCAGCAGCTGTATATTTATAATAGGCTATATGCATTATATTCCTCCTCCCTAGATGGTTTATGTCAACACTGAAATTCCATTTCCCACCTTTTATTCAGATGTAGCTAATATAGCGCTTTATGTTGGAGAAGAAAAACAAATTGAATTTATTTTCCTTATATGGTTCTTATTACAAAATTTTGCGTTACAATAAGAAATCAGTATCGATCCTTGTTTTTCCTATTTTTGATAAATATATTTGGTTTTGCTTTCTGATTTTGAATTTTTTTAGTTTAGTTATAGTCCATTTGCATGCGTCCTGCCTCTTGGCTTTGCGCTTTTTATTTATTTATTTATTTTTTTTTAATAAAGTAAAACCCGTAAGACTAACACCACTTAATCAGGTTACTGACTGGAAAGGGAATGAGCTTGATCTTGGTGCAGATCAAGTTGAACGACGAATCATATTCCCTTCAGGCGGTGTTGTCGTGAGCAATGGCAACATACATTATAAGATCCTAGAGATGATCTCTTCCACTTCATCGTTTGAAGGGGATGCTATCCTATCTTGATGTTTCTTTTAGCTTTGAAATTTTTTTTTTTAATAATATATATCATATAGGCTTGATTTAATTGTACAATATTTATCAGTTCACTTGAAGAGGGGATAGTGATAGATGTTCATTTATTCGGAGATAATGAAGGGCATTATTTAAAACCCCTTTCTCTTTCTCTGAGAGTTCATTTTGTCTGAAGCTACTCGGGCAGAGGGAATTTTGTTAATTATACTCTAATATTTGTTTTTGGGCGGATTGACCAGTAGTTAAGAATGTGAAACCATTCGTTGCATCCACAACAATGATTTTTTATGGATAAAAATTGTTCATGAACAATCCAAATATATTTGATAAAGGAATGCTTAATTGGATGTTGAGTTGGTGTGGAGAAAATTAAGAAATATTTACCCTGCGTTAGGCACACTATTTAACATTATCCTATTCTATCGTCTTATCCTAAAAAATGTAAAATACATAATAAGTTTTAATATTCTTTAAAATTCAATCATATTTTATTCTAACTTAAAACATTAACAATTATTCTTTTTAATAAAAGTTTTAAAATTAACAAAAACTCTCCGATTCACCTAAGCCATTATCACTCGTCAGCAACTGTCGTCGTTGCCACTGTCAGCACCATAACGATGCATGGTCGGTTAAATCTGGTTGGTCGTGCGTCGATCTGTCTTTTTTTATCAGATCTAAGGCTAAAGATCTAGCCATTGATGACATCTAGAAATCTTGGTCGTCATTTGGCTATCAATGACAGCCAGATTTGTGGTCGTCGATCTACTTGATTTTGGTCAAATATACGGTGGATCTGGTTGAAAAAGGTCAGATCAGTGTACGATCGGCTAGATCTAGTTGATTGTGTGTCATTCTGATGACTTGCGGTCACCGTCCGATGGTGGTGACCAATTGTTGACAATAATGGAGTGGATGTTTGTGTTTTTGTCAATTTAAAAAATTTTATTGTTTGGGAGGTGGCAGTGTTTAATTAAATTAACAAACCTAAGAGGTTAAAAAAAATATTTTCAGAAAATATTTTCCAAAAAAGTACTGAAAACATTCTCAAAATCTTATCATATTTTCCAAAAATCATATTAAGTATAGAATGCTATTTTTAAAAACTAAACAAATGGGAGCCTCAAGCTTTAATATATTAAGATTAGATAATGCGTTAAAAGAAAATGGGCTTTTTAAAATTATAAGGCTCAAATGAGATCCATGCTTTGTATGCCTTTGCTCTTTCGGCCCTGTAAGTTTAATATGGTATAAATTAATTAAGGGAATTATCGAGGTACAAAATTTTTAAAAATTAATATACAAAAGATAAAATTTTAATTTCTTCAAGACAATCAATAGTTAATGGTTACTAGTTTCAAATTTTCCTAATAGTACAAAGGTGATTATATATATTTAAACTATTCATTAAAAAAAATTAAAGAAACCATAAAAATTCATCAAAGTTTAAAAACTAAAAAAATTTAATTTAATTTGTTCCTCGTTTTTTTTTTTTTTTTTTTTTTTTTTTTTTAAATTTATTTGGTTTTAGTAAAATTTTCATAGTTTTTTTCTAATGTTTTAAATTTAGATTTCAAGTTCATTTTTCTTTTTTATTTGAATATTAAGCCATTTTTCCTTTTCTTTATTTTATATATAGAATTCAAAACATATGTTTATATTAAATAATAAAATTTATCATGACAACTTCTTTTTTCATTAAAATTAATCATAAATAATTGTTAATTATGCTTTAATTGAGGGAATTAAAACTTATATCTTTGTCGGGAGTTTTAAAAATTTTGTACCTTTGTATAATTTTCAAAATTAATTATATATGAGTTGCATATCACGCATTATGTTGCCTTAAAACACCGATTTTGTGTAAGGAATGAAGTTATTGCATAATTAAACAATGATCTTGAAGATAAATTTCGTGGTAATATTTAAATAAACACACAGCTTGTAATACTCTTTCATTATGTATTCAAACTAGACGTTAGATCAAGAAACACATCTTCTCTAGGGAATGTCAGAAAAACCATTGGATGATCAAATCAAATTCTTCTTCAGCTTGACTTAGCAAGTCTTGAAATGAAGGGGTGATTCAAGTACCTCTTTTGGTTTCTCCAAATGATCTGTAAAATGGCCCTGCGGAACTTCTACAGCTGTTGAAGCATCTTGGTTTGTTGCGAAGAGTTATCCTTAAAGAATTTGCTTAGCATGAACACTACGGAGAGACGGAAACCTGTGATTTTATATGGATGTCTAAATCTCTTGGGGAAGAACAAGATGATGATACACTTGAAGGTGTGAAAAGTTATGTTGCTTAGCTCTTGTGAACTGAATTCTCTATATACAGAGATGGGTGACCCGTCAACTTAGTAAGTAAAAACCAATCTTGATATAAGTTTGTATAACATTTAATACGAGTTGTAATAAAAATGTTAACAGAAATTTACATATTAAAACAAAAATATCAGTTCATATAATTTCATTTTTACTTCAAAACATACACAAATTGATTGTATCATTTATATAATCATGTCACGTAGTATCACCTATTATCTCGGTGGCCGGGTCAGAATGTATCAAACAAATCATGTCATTTGTAACCCGATGAACCAGCCAAAATTTCATATAAGATGTGCACCATATAACAGTATAAATCCAACTGGACCAGATAATCATATAAGAATTCAGAGTTTAGAATCTACAGATCATGAGCCAAAAGATTCATTTTTTTAAATCTTATTTCAAAACTATAATTAGAAAACATTTTTCTTCGCATTGTAAGGAAAATATAAATTTTCAATAAAACATTTTCTTACCTTTAAAGAAAAACGGTTTTGTAATTTAAATCTAAAATATATATTAATTTTCTTGGTGTGAAAATAATATTTTTCAATATTTTTAGGTTCATATCAAAAGACTTTAATAAAACATATCATCTTTAAAAGAGTTTAGCTTAAAATAAATATTGTTTAAGTGAAAAGACTTTTCATTTAAAAACATAGTCTTTTTAATTTTATTTTTTTTAAATTGTAAAACTAAATAAAATACATTATTTTCATGTTAAAAACATCATTTACAACAGACATAATCATATTTCAGAAATTGAAGTATCAAAAACATACGTCATGAACATTTTTTACTTACCTTAAACAATAGTGAAACCAATCTGTACAGACGTACACGTCCAAACTCACACACACACACACACAACTACTCGAGCCCTAAACAATAATGAAATAATCTAAAGTATAACAAACCTAAACCTAACAGAACCACATGAAACACTTATAATATCTAATTCTCTCAAATTAATCAACCTTCTAATTCCCATAACAAACAACATATGCTTCCATAAAAAATAACAGTCTCAACGAACAATAACTACTCTATGAATTTTACTAAATTCTACACTCAATGCAAGAAGCTGAAATTTTCCAGATATCATCTAGACACATGAAAGTATCAACAGAAAGTTTCGTTTATTAAAAAAAGTAAAAAAATATTTTAAAATGAATTTTCTTTCTGGCTCTTCAGTTCTATCCAGAAACTGCAAAACATGAGTTCACTATATTGAAAAGTCTGTAAGTATTTTTATACTCATCCAAAAATTACAAAATTTTTATGAGATTTTCCTAACATGTTTCTAAATAATCATGAATTTTTACAGAATTCTTAATGCACTTTAAAGTGACTAAAATAATTTCGGAAATGCAATAGTTTTCTGAAATTTAAAAAATCTAGGATTTTAACACCATAATGAAAGTTCAATATAAAATAAAACACTTAATAAATTTTTACATAATCTATCATGTGTTAAGAATGGCATACACACATAATTTCTCTATTAAAGTTATCCGTAATTAAATTAAAAATCTAGAATCCAACATTGTCAGTAACTAGTCAAGAATTCTAGGCTTAATGAAACTAGACAAAACTAAAATTATCATATCATAATATAATTAAAAGTTAATATAATATAGAATTAAAAATAAAGAAAACTTACCTGGAAAGTTGATGAAATTTAAAGGAAACTTTCAAATTTTCATCATCATCTCTCCCCCTTCTGTTCTCGGGTGGTGGGCTCCCTCCATTTCAAGGTGGTAGTAGAGATGGTGAATTCCCTTCGGATGGTGGTGGAGGTGGTGGATTCCTTTCAGATGGTTAGAGGAGATGGAGGCAATATATCATGATTCCAAGCATGGATGAGTTAGTTTGTGGCGTGCGCTATCACTGGATTAGGTTCCAAATATGTCAAGTGCATGTCAAGTTGTATATAGTGAAAATTCTCTTGGATAACTTGGCGATCCAAAAGAGTAGACATGAGGGGTCTAAGCCTCTGCATAGCCTGATGCATATCATACACACATCCGTTATATTCAAAGCCTCTTGTCATTGAAGCAATGCCTATTCCCATTATTCGCCAAAACATTTTTTTTTTTTTTTTTTTCAAATTTATTTGGTTTTAGTAAAATTTTCATAGTTTTTTTTCTTAATGTTTTAAATTTAGATTTCAAGTTCATTTTTCATTTTTTAAATTTGAATATTAAGCCATTTTCTCCTTTTCTTTTTATTTTTTATATATAGAATTCAAAACATATGTTTATATTAAATAATAAAATTTATCATGACAACTTCTTATTTTCATTAAAATTAATGATAAATAATTGTTAATTATGCTTTAATTGAGGGAATTAAAACTTATTATCTTTGTCGGGAGTTTTTAAAAATTTTGTACCTTTGTAGATAATTTTCAAAATTAATTATATATGAGTTGCATATCACGCATTATGTTGCCTTAAAAAACACCGATTTTGTGTAAGGAAATGAAGTTATTGCATAATTAAACAATGATACTTGAAGATAAATTTCGTGGTAATACTTTAAATAAACCACACAGCTTGTAATACTCTTTCATTATGTATTCAAACTAGACGTTAGATCAAGAAACACATCTTCTCATAGGGAATTGTCAGAAAAACCATTGGATGATCAAATCAAAATTCTTCTTCAGCTTGA